GGTAGAATATCAAAAAATGCTAATTTTAGTGTCATGTTTTGTTTAAGAAAGAGACTTGACTCACTGCGATATAGAAAGAAACCTAATTATTTGCTTTATTGATTATTTCATATTATATAAAAACATGTTTCTGTTGTTGGATTAACAGCCGAGAAACAGAAATCTTCAGTTAAGTGAAACATAAAACAAATATAAACAGATCAGTGTTCAATCTGAGAGGCTGCAAGCAGAGACTGATGTCTTTTGCTTAAAACACAGATTCACTTTGCTGATGTATAAACATGCAGCTGCCGTCTGTTCGTTAATTGGAGGTGAACCGCTCGTTGTTTCCCTCCGTCCAGCCTCTTTGAGCTCAGCTCGTGGCTTCATGTTTGACTTTCACTCCGGGGATCTGGACCTCTCCGACCTCCTGGCTGCTGCCGCCGCTCTGTTTTTTGTAAAACCCTCCTCATAAATAAAGAGATGAAGAAATTCCTCCGTGTCTGGATTCCTGCAGCTCAGCGGGAGAGGAGGAGACGCTCTCTGGAGGCCAAAACAAGAGGCGTCACCTGAAGCGTCCGTTAGCCGGACAGGCGAGAAGTCGAGGAAGTCGGTGCCTCGTGACTCCATCTCTGCCCTGAAAACATTTAGTTTTATTTGACCTGCGGAGCTCCTGAATCAGTCCGAGGGCTGAACTATACATCCAGATAATTAGATTTAATTGGTGTAAAGACGTGTGAATGTGACACACGAGCTTCTTCTGCTGCCTCTCACACAGCAGCAGAAGTCAGAAGGTCTCTTTAGTGTTCATGTGGTGACCCTGCAGACGTTCAACGCTCCATATCATTTAACAAAGTCAGAGCAGCAGCAGCTTCTGAAGTCTCAGAAGTCTTTAGGTCGAGTTCCTACTGCAGAGAAACAGGTTTTAACTTTAATTATTTAACTTTGAGGCGATTAACCATCTGTCACTGTGTGAGTCTTTGAGCTTGTTTTGCATCTTTAATGTTTACTTTTTCTGTATGTCTGTGTCTCTTTGAGGTCATTTTTTGTCTCTTTGTGGTGGTTTTGTAGCTCATTGAGGTTTCCTTGAGTCTCTTTGTGGTGGTTTTGTGTCTCTCTGTGGTTGTCTTGTATCTCATTGAGGTTTCCTTGAGTCTCTTTGTGGTTGTTTTGCCACTCTCTGGTCATTTTGCGGCTTCAGGGTTGCATTTCGTGTCTGTTGTGGTTGTTCTGGGACTTCTTGTGGTCATTTTGCGTCTCTTTGTGGTTGTTTTGGGACTTTTTCTGGTCATTGTGCGTCTTCTAGAAGCCACAGAGTCTAACCGTTGCCGAGCGTTGGCACCAGCGGCCTTGTTTAGAAGTTATAATTACTGAGCACCAGTACATTAACTTCTAAGTATCCCTGCCTGCGGCCCGGACCGGGCTACGGTGTCGACCGTTTAATCTCCCCAAATGCGACCCGATTCATTTCAATTAGCACATAAAACACGTTGACTTTGTTCTGTGGTGTAACATCTGAAACCTGCTGCAGAAACACGACGACGGACACACACTCGCTGACATGTGTTCTCTGTGACACATGCAGCATCAGGTTTTATATTTTCCTCCTTCTTGTCACACAAACCCTGGGCTGACGGAGGCGGCTTCGTCCTGGAGGCGCACACACTCCATCTCCCAGCATCACGCTCACACGAGCTGCACGGGTCGCCGTCACGCAGGAGTCCAGATGGTTTCCTGAAGCAGATGGAGAGTGATGAACACATCCTCAGGTCACCACACTCGCTCTCTGATTGGCCGGTCGCGGTCTCAGGTCAGCGGCGGCCGCGCTGACAGGTGATTGGCCGGCAGCTGCGGTGATGTAAATGCATCACGCTGAGTTTTTAGCAGCAGGAGCGAGAAGCCGCTGCAGCGCAAACGTCCGACTTTCAGAAGTTCGTTTGGATTTTTAAAAGATTTTACGGACTTTTTAGCCGCCTCACTTTGTCCTGCAAAGGTGAGCGTCTTAAAACACCTGGACTGTAGACGTGGCTGCTGCAGATTTACGGAGAGCATTTAAGGGTTTTTATTTAATCTGTGAAATCCGGTTTATTTCCTGATTTGCTGCTTTTTTCTTCTGAAGGATCAAATGTTAGCTAGAAAATGTTTTTGTTTTAGTAAATCAGGGATGAATTATGTTTAGTTTGAGGATATTGAAGTGATGAAACGTGTATTTTGGTCAAACATCTTGTGCAAGTTCAGACTTTTTAGAAGCAGCAGCGCTTGTTTAGTGGATTAAAAGAAAAATATGGGGATGAATTAGGAAGAAAATACAGAAAATTTGATGGTTTTTTGGTCTAAAATGTGAGCGTTTGCTTCTTTTCCTGTTATTATGATTGTAAAAGAAATGTTTTGGTGGTTTGGATCAAACAGTTTCTCTTTTAAAAGAGCTGCAGGACGACACAGCAGCAGGTAAATACCTCAGTAGAGCCAGGTGATGGAGAGTGAAGCCTCAGAACGGGATGATTTGAGCTGCTGGAGGTGAAACCAGACTGTTTACAGACTATTTCTTTCTTTCCCTCTGTGTCGGTGCGCTGGGACACCCTTTAAAATCAAATGTAAGACTTTTAAAGATGTTAACAAAGACCGATGCACCACAGTAACAGTACATGTATGTTGTTGTGTCTCTGAGACGTCCACTATCTGATGCTGTTTGCTGTTGTTTTCAAGCTTTTGTCGAACAAACATGACTTAATGGCATCAGTGAACGTTTTTACATGTTGTGAGTCAGGAAGCGTCGCCTTGAAAGATGTCGCTGTTTGATTTCTATGAGCAGAATAGAAAAACGAATGTAGCGCCAGTATTTTGAAAAACCAGCGTCTTTGCTTTTCTGACATTATGAGAGACTCGAGGAGAAATGTAGAATTCTTTGTTGTGCTTTGTTGTTCTTGCAACCAAAAACAAGCAAAAAATAGCATAAACTGATTTAAAAAAACTTTAAAAACACGCAGCATTATATATTGACAGGCTGAACAGGAACGACGGTAGCTGCTAACATTAGAAGGAGCACCTAGCGTTGTGACCTACTGCTACGCTAGTCTAAACAAGATCATAAGCTGCTAAGTTAGCCTAAAACAGCTAATGTTAGTCTAAACAAGATAATAAGCTGCTAAGTTAGCCTAAAACAACTAATAATAGTCTAGACAAGGTAACCTAAGCTGCTTTATTAGCTTAAGAAGGGTTTTTGTAGCACTTTAGTGTAAATAAGGTAAAGTTAACAAGCTAATATTAGCCTAAACAAGACAACGTTAGCTGTTGTTAGCCTAAACAAGATAGTATAATTGGTTCAACAGCAACATCAGCCCAAACTATATTAAATAAGCTGCTATGTTAGCATAAATATGTTAATAGTTGCTAATTTAGCCTAAATAAGATAACGCCACCTTCCACATTAGCCTGAACAAGATGATGTTAGCATAAATAAGAAAACATTAGCTTAAGCAAGATAATGTAAGCTGCCATTTTAGCCTAAAGACAACTGCAACCCATTCTTTAGTCTAAAAACGATAACATTAGCTGCTCTGTTAGCTGAAAGAAGCCAATGTTAGCTTAAAAATAGATAATGTTAGCCACTGTATTAACTAAAAAAGACAACGTTATCTTAGACACGTTTACATTCACCCAAACAACATAACACAAACTGCTATGCTAGCCTAAAGAACACGTTAGCCACTACTTTACTGGAAACAACATAGTGTTAGCTACTACATTAGTCTTAAAAGCTAATGATGTGCTTGTTGAGCAGTGACTTTCTTTCCTGTTTAATCAAATCTTCATATTTTAAAGTCAGAAAAAACATTTTGTTGATAAATACAGAGTTTGTTTTACTCATTTGTTCGTATAAGATTAAGTTGACTACCGTCTGAATTAGCTGTTAAGCTAACTGCAGCTTATTTGTAGTGTTTTTCAGTGTTGATTAGCTAATAAATAAATGTTTGATGAGCTGATGTGTTCTTGTCTTTGTGTCTCTCAGGTCTTGTGGCATCTCGACATCTTCCGTCGTAGTTTCCGTCAGCTGACCACCCATAAGTGCATGGAGGACTCGTGCATCTTCTGCGCTCTGAAGGTGAGAACCCGTCCAGCTGATGATCTGCTGCTACCTCTGGACCGTCCTCCTGTTTCTGACCTCGCAGTGCTTTTGTCTTCCTCAGAGTATCTTCGCTCAGTTCCAGTACAGCAGCGAGAAGGTCTTACCGTCCGACGCTCTCCGCACCGCGCTCGCCAAAACCTTCCAGGACGAGCAGCGGTTCCAGCTCGGCATCATGGACGACGCCGCAGAGTGCTTCGTACGACCACACACACAGGAAGTGACATCGCCGCAGCTTACCGGTTGGCCGGGTCCTCACTGGTGTTCTGTGTTTGTGCAGGAAAACATCCTGATGAGGATCCACTTCCACATCGCAGACGAGACCAAAGAAGACATCTGCACGGCCAGACACTGCATCCCCCACCAGAAGTTCGCCATGACGCTGTTCGAGCAGGTGAGTCAGCGGCCGAGGTCGACTCTGCTGCAGCAAATTACAGAAGACACATCCAGAACTACTTATTTGGATAAAAAAGGAAAAATACCAGCTGTGGATGAATCAGAAAAACACCAGAACTGTAAAACTCTTTCAGGAAGCCACTGATTTTAAACCAGCAGTCAGATGCCAATACAACATCAGAACTGTTTTTATTTACCGGCAGAACAAATCCTTCTGTCACGTTTTTCTCTGCGATATGAAGTCCTGCACCGCGACGGAAACACAATCACAGCAAGAAGACGACTCAGGAATGTGTTTAGAGCAGCACAAGAAAGAAAAATCCACAATTGAATTTCTTTGATTTTCTTTTTTCTATTCATGACACAAAATTGAACAAAAGCTATGATCAGCGTGTCAAACATTTCGTCTCCTCTCTGCTCTGTGTCAACACCGCCTGCATTCAGCGAAAAATTCCCTGAATTCTTCTCCAGTGAATGTCGGTCGGCGCTGAACCACTAATGGCTTTACAGCTGCACAGAACTTTTGGGTTCTGACTGAATCTGTTTTGAACAAATGGCTTCTTTTTGCTGATTTCTTTAAAGAAATATAAAGAAAAAAGTGAGTTTATCATCATTTTGAGCTCAGATTTGGATATTTTTTTCAACTCAAGTGCACCTTGTAGTTCAAGGACTGTTTCTGTTTTTGCAGTTTGTGGCTGTGGTGAAGTTTTGGTGATTTTCTTTCAACAATATCACACTTTTCAAAGCTGCTGTCAGGTTCTGGGGTTTAATGTCCAGGATGAACAGTATAGAAGACAGCAGCAAGCAAAAACTATTTGAAAATGAAACTGAAAAATACTTTATTTATCCCAGAAGGGCACCTGATCAAGGTTTAAAACTGTTTGAAATGCGCTGTCTTTTCAGTTTACCCTGAGTTTTGTTTGTCTGTGTGGCTTCAAAGTCATAAATATCTCCAGAAACCAGCTTCAGCCTGAGATGTTGTGAAGTTTCATCCCTGAGCTTTATCAGTTGAAGCGTCTGATGCGACGTCTGCCTCGTGTCTTTGTGTGTCAGTGTGTTTGCAGCAGCTGTGGAGCGTCCTCAGACCCGCTGCCCTTCATTCAGATGGTCCACTACATCTCCACCACCTCCCTGTGGTGAGTCTCTGTTTGTGCACAGGCTGTGGAGGCCCGGCTTGGCTTTAGGTTTGGTTTAGGGTCCCCACAAAGGCACAAATCCAAACGTGTGTTCCAGGCTCTATGTTTAGCTCCCGTATCACACGAGGTAAGTTGAGGCCACACCCCCCTCCCAGTGCTGTCGCTAGGTAACGCGTCAGGGTCACCACGGCAACCCGGCTAATCACTGTCGTTATCGCGGCTCCTGAGGTGTTGCTCCTGCACACACACACTGATTCATTCGGGTCCCACAAGAGGTGCAGCCGGTTTGTTTCCTGCTGCCGTGGCCTCGACAGGTGGTTGTGTCTCTGTGGTTCACGATAACTTTGCAACTTCAGGTAAAATAAACGGCGTATGTGGAGTGAAGGCGATGCAAAGCTCCCACAACTTACCAATAAACACTTAACTTATTAGCACAGCCAATTAGCAGTAAATCATATTGCTACTTTAATATAAATAAGTTAACACTGACTGCTAAGTATGTCTAAAGAAGCTAATGTTCACCTGAACAAGGTAACATAAGCTGTTAGCCTAAAGATAGCATTAGCTGGTATGTTAGCCTTAAGATAACATTAGCTGGTATGTTAGCCTTAAGATAACATTAGTTGGTATGTTAGCCTTAAGATAACATTAGCTGGTATGTTAGCCTAAAGATAACATTAGCTAGTATGTTAGCCTTAAGATAACATTAGCTGCTGCTTTAGTCTAAATGAGGTATTATTTTCTGCTACGTTAGCCTGTACAAGCTAATACTTGTCAAAGCAAGATAAAATTAGCCCAAACAAGATAGCATAGCCTGCTATGTTAGCCTAAGGATAAAGTTAGCTGCTATGTTTGTCTTAAGATGGCATTAGCTACTACTTTAGCCTGAAAAAGATAACGTTGCCTAATACATTATTCAAGACAAGCTAATGTTAGCCTGAACAAGACAACATAATGCAGATAACCCTAGCCACCACTTTCGTCTATATATGATAACTTTTAGTGCTATTTTAGCATAAAGAAGCTAGTGCTAGTCTAAGCAAGATAACATAATCCGCTATGTTTGCCTAGAGAAAAGCCTAGCTGCTGTTTTAGTCTAAATATAACCAAGCTAACGTTAGACTTAGCGCAACATAACGTTAGCCTGAACAAGATAATGTTAGTCTACACAAAATAACTTTAGCTTAAACAACATACCATAAGCTAGTATGTTAAGCTCAAAATAACATTACCTTCTAGTTCAGTCTAAATATGATAATATTAACTGCTTTGTTAGCCTAATGAAGCTAATGTTAGCCTTGGCAAGATAGCATTCATCTAAACATGACAGCATTGCCCTAAACAAGTTCGTATACGGCAATAACTCCTCTTCTTCTTCCTCCTCTTCTCAGTAACCAGGCAGTGAAGATGCTGGAGTCGAGGGAGAAGGCGACTCCTGGGATGTTCGGGGAGCTGCTGCGAAACGCCAGCATGGGAGACCTGCGCAGCTGTCCGGTAAACCTCCATCACATACAAATACCAGACATCCCCTGATTCCAGCCGCTCAGGTGTAACAGCCTCCTCCTCCTCCTCCTCCTCCTCCTCAGAGCCAGTGTGGTCAGCAGCTCCGGATGGCTCGCGTCCTCCTCAACAGTCCGGAGATCATCACCATCGGCCTGGTGTGGGACTCGGACCACTCGGACCTGGCCGAGGACGTCATCCACACGCTGGGAACCTGCCTGCGCCTGGGAGACGTGAGTAGCAGCAGCTCACTGATCGATCGATTGATTGATTGATTAGAAAGTCGACCTGCAGCTGAAGCCTTGGTCTCTGTGCAGCTGTTTTACAGAGTGACGGAGGAGAAGGCCCGTCAGTCGGAGCTCTACCTGGTCGGCATGGTGTGTTACTACGGCAAACATTACTCCACCTTCTTTTTCCAGACTAAGATCCGGCGATGGATGTACTTCGATGACGCGCATGTCAAAGAGGTACGGTCGCACAGAGGAGACGTGTTGCCTACACTTAGTTAGTAAAAGATGGAAAATAGAATAAAATGCTTTGTTTTTATCGATAATAAGTGATAATTAACCAAGAGAACTTTCACTGAACTACTTAAACACACGTAATAACTTAAATCTTGACACAACTTTAAAAATGTTTATATTTATTTTATTTTAACGATTGATCTTACAGGCAACGATCACATTTGGTCTGTTTTTAGTATTTTATTCCATTTTATTTTGTTTTACAAATTTATTTCACGAGTCTAGAAAATAGAAAAATTTCATTAAATAAATACAATTATTTGCTCCTCAGTTCTTTTATTTTTTTATTTTTGCATTTCTACATTTTTCATTTACTTATTTATTTTTTTATTATGTTTACATTCCAACATTTTTAAAAACTTACTTATTCTTTTATTTATTCATCATTGCATTTCCACATTTGTTGACCGCTTGTTTTTTTTCTTTTCTTTACTTATATTTACATTCCCACATTTTTAATTTACATACTGACTAATGTATTTATTTATCTTTACAATACCTCATTTATTTATTTTCTTGCTTATTAATTTTAGATTTTCACACATGTATTATTTTATTTATGTTTTTATATCCACGGTATTTAATCTGGTTATTCTGCACATTTTTTTATTTACTGGTATTTTTGTCTACATTTTCACATTTTAGAATTTATTCATAGATTTTACTATTTACTTTATTTTACTATTTTTTTGCTGCCTGTATTTTTTATTAGAGAAAACCTGAACAGTTGCTTTTTAGTTTAATATCAGACTCATTTCAGTCCTGTTGAGCGTCGGGGCTCCTCACTGAGCATCTCTTCTCCTGTGAATTTAATGCTGTTGTGCTCATTGTTCCTCACCAATAACTTAAAAGTGAAGAAAATAAAATCCAAAACGTTCCTTCAAGCTGTTTATCGGTGAAGGTTTAGACCCACGAGTGTGTTTGTGGTCGAGGAAGGGAAGTGACCTCATGTTGTTCCCGTCCATCCTTACTCCTCTCCTGCCTCCTTTCCTGCCTCCTTTCCTGCCTCCTCCTCCTCTCTTCTGTCACTGCCGCTCTCTAATAACGCCGTTGGAATGAGATGTGCCATTCCCTCTCTCCCTGCCGGTTGTGAAAACAAGGATATCCCTCTATTGTTTACCCGTCCAGCTGGACAGAGGCGAGCGAGGGTGTGGTCAGCGCGCTCACATCCCACCAACACTTCTGCTCACACTGCAGACTTTCATTCTTTCCTCTAAACAAACACGCACAGTTTTTTCACACGCCGCCGCCGCCGTCGTCGCTGCCGCGCAGGTCGTCGGCGTGTCGGATCTCAGGACGTCCCGTCAGGTCCGAGTGGAGCAGCTTTGGGGGAAAATGGAGGAAGGGTTGAAATAACAAACTCAAAGAGACGAGCGGACGGAGGACAGGAAGACGACGTTTTTCCATCACGGAACAGGGAACTGTAGCCTCGACAGTGTGATCGCTGTCAGCGCTGGGAGGTGAGCGGGACGTCCTGACGTGGTTTCAAACTTTAACGTCTCTACTGTGTGAAAGGTGTTGGTTTAAATGGTCTACCTGAGTCTCTGAACCGTGCATGTTGGGATGTTACAGAGGGCTTTAACCAGCCTCATCTCTACCAGGGACAGGAAGGGACTTTATTTTCCTTTAACAGGGAAAATAAATCTAATCTGGGAGGTCTGTTATAATTTCCACCCATGAAAAGCTCTCAAACGGCGTGAGGGAGGCGCCGGCGTTCATTGTTGAGTCCCTGCTGAGCCTCACAAAATGAAATGCAGCGTCCAGGTGGTTTGTTTGGTCGACGTGCTCGCGTCCAACCAAGTCCTCATTGGTGGGACGACCTGCTTTCATGAGGAGGAAAGTGCTTCATCAACACTCTTCCAGGACTAGTCCATTATTTTTGGCGGCAGGAGGAGCAGACCGCTGGCGAACACCCCCGCGCTTTCACAACTGTGAGCCGACCCAACCTGATGAAACGGCGAGCTCTGGTTCAGTTATTGAACGTTCACTCAGAGTCGGCTCAAAACTAATTAACACGCCGTCAAAGTCGTCGTTCAAAAGTCAATTATGAACTTTACAAACAGCAGTGAACTCGTCTTTGTTCTATTCCTCAGTAGTTCTGGATCAGAAGTTTATATATTTATATTGTCAGAAGTCATGAACACGTGCAGCTGGTCGGGTCACCTCAGTAGAAAATCACCAAATGAGTTATGATGCTGCACATTTTTATCTTTATTATTAATTTAGTGTTCATTTAGGCTAAAGAGGCTGCAGGTGGAGTCACTTCATTTCATTCTGAGAATAAACACAAAACATCAGCTGTCAGAAATGTCCACAATCCATCATTTAAGTCGGTTTTTAAAGCAAAGATTCTGAAAGCGGCTGAACAAGTGAGAACGTTGAACAGTTTCTCAGTTTTATATGAAAGTAAACTCAACTTCAGAGAATAATTCAGGATGTTTTTATGACATTTTACACACAAGAACTGTATAAATAGTGGAAATGACTGTAGGCTGCAGCCTTCGGGCCGGTTCTGACAGAGTTCAGTCTGTCGTTGTGGTTCTGGTGCCTGGTTTCCTCACAGCTTGTTTACCGTCTGCTAGTCGGTGAAATAAACTGATTATGCAAACCGTCTTAAACGAGAGGAAACGCATTTTTTAACAGATGTTTACAAACTTAACTGCTGCCACCAGAGAAAAGAGGATTTTATTAGTTCTGATGAATCTGGAGCTTCATAGGAGCAGAAAGACGTCCTGCCAGCTGTGGAGATGCTTCTGTGGATTGTCTTTGTTAAAAAACTGCAAATAAACGACCTTAAAGCAAAAGTTTTAAGACTGGATTTTACCACAGGGTGCCTCTACGTCAGGGGTTTGTTATGGAGTCGTAGTGAGAAAAGAAAAAATAAAATAATGTGGTAAAGTTAAACAGAAATAAATTAAGAATGTCGAGGTGAATAAATAAATGTTAACTGCTATGTTAGCCTAAACAAGCTAATGTTAGCCTAAACAGGATAAAATTAGCCTAAACAAGATAAAATTAGCCTAAACAAGCTAATGTTAGCCTAAACAAGCTAATGTTAGCCTAAACAAGATACCTTCATACCTGTAATTTTAGGCTAAAAGTAAAAAGATGCTTTTAATAAATAAATAAATGTGGAAATCTAAACAGAACTAAATAAAAGAATAAATAATCCTTTTTAATAAATAAAATCATTTTTAAATGTAGTAATTCTAAAATATGTTGACAATGCATACATAAGAAATAAAATGGTAAATAAAAATGTAAATATAACCAGAAATGAAGAAAAAATGAATTTAAAAAAAGTGGAAATATAAACATTAACTAATAAGAATGACTAAATTGAAAATGCTGAAATGTAAAAACACATAAATAAGGAATAAATGAGTAAATTAAAAAAAAATAAAATATATATATATATATAAACAGAAATTAATGATAGAAAAATTTAATTAAACAAGTGAAAATATTCACAGGAATTAATAAAATATTAAATAAATATGGCTATGTAAAGAAAACAAATGAATACGCATTATTTTTTATTATTATTTATCGGACTATTTCAATATTCTGCATGTAAATGACCTGACTTCTCTGTATGTTGCAGGTTTTTTATTGTTTATTTGTTTCATACCTTTATTTTTCCTCCTCTTCTGTCCTATTAGTTGTCTACCAGTCAGTTCCTGCACACATCGATGTATTGACTGTGGAAATAATTGCTGCTGTGATGGATCAGCCTCGCTCAAGCTTCCCTGCGTGTTAATGATTTCACCCACTTGTTGCAGATCCCGTAGATCCAGATGACCTGCAGTAAACCTGCGGCTTCCTCTTTGCCTGGTTGGTTTTTTAAGCTGTTAAAGTTTTGTCTGTGTTTCTGTCTCCGTCCTGCAGATCGGCCCCAAGTGGAAGGACGTGGTGTCTCGCTGCATCAAGGGCCACTACCAGCCTCTGCTGCTGCTGTACGCCGACCCGCGGGGGACGCCGGTGTCGGTGCAGGACCTGCCCTCGCGCCTCGACCTGCACCACCTCAACAAGGCCTGCTACGACAGCGAAGACTCGGGTAACTACAACACAGCTAGGAGTCGTAGTAGTAGCACAGCAGCAAACGTTCAGGTAACTAAACCAGAATCAGTGGCTCTGTACTAGTTTATCTGTGACAGACAGCACTGAGGTAACAGCTAACGGCTGCAGTTAGTCCTGCTAGCGCCAGTGTTGATGTCATGTGATGTACCTGTGTGCGTGTCACCGCGTCACCTCTGAACCGCCGCCCCTCCCACACCTCGGACAGGCCGCGAGCCGTCAATCTCCAGCGACACTCGCACCGATTCGTCGACGGAGAGCTACTCGTACCGACAGCCCTCCCACTCTCACCATGAGTCCCTGGCCAGCCACTACTCCTCCGACTCCCAGGGAACCGTCATCTGCATCGAACGCCCCGACGGAGCCCTGCACGCCTCGCTCTGCAGCCTGGATACCATAGGTGGGTCCGCACCCTCCACTACGATGCATGGTTCCTGTTTGGTGTGAATGACAGCAGCTGGTAGTCACAGCAGGGTCAGTCGGTCAGTCGGTCAGTCGGTCAGCGGTGGAGGAGCTCGGACTTCTGTCCTTTAACTTAGTGGAGTCGTGTTGGTTAGATCTGCTGCTAATTAGCTCGAGCTGCACTTGATCAGATGTCTGAGAGTCCAAGTTACTGACACCTTTGTGGGTTTATGTCCAAGTTAATGTCACTTTTGTTAATTCATATACGACTAGTTGACCTTTTGTGTGTTAATAACCAAGTTTTGGAAACTTCTGTGCATTAATATCATAGTTTTTGTCACTTTTGTGAGGTAATATTCAGGTTATTTATACTTTTGTGTGTTAATATTGAAGTTTTTGACACTTTTGTGCATTCATATTTGGGCTAATAACACTTCTGTGCGTTAATGTCAAAGTTTTTGACACTTTTGTGAGATAATATCCAGGTTATTTATTCTCATGTGTGTTAATATTGAAGTTATTGACACTCTTTAGTGTTATTTAACACACAAGAGCTTTGTACACATTTAGCCAGTGGAGCTGCAGGTGTGTTTGCTCTGAACATCTTTTATTCAGATGTCTGTGCTGGATGTGATGGTGTTGGGTCATGTGACATGTTCAGTCAGGATCCAGACTATTGATCAGCCGGTGAGCAGAAGACAAACAGGAAGTGGAAACAGCAGCGGGGGCTGCGTGATGCCAGTAACCAAACCAAACCACTCACCTTCATTTCTTTACCGTTTGATTTGATCATTGCTGCAGAATAAAAAGCTTCCATTCCTCCATCAGCCGGAGAGCCGACCTGCTGCCAGCCAGTCACTCCATTCTTCTTCTTCTTCTCCTTCTGTCATTGTGCTGCATGCTGTAAACATCCGTTGCCATGCTTCTCGTTGCTAAGGCCACGTGACGGACAGTGAGCAGCACCAGTCTCTGAGGAAGGGAGGCGGGGCCGGGGATAGGAGGCGGAGCTCTAGCCGCCACCGCCGAGCTAAACCCGACAACGAAGCCTCGTCGGCCGGTTACCACAGCGAGGGTAGGCGGGGGTTTGGACCAATCGGGGGGGACGGGGAGTTTGAAGGAACCAATCGCAGGGCAGAGATTACATCACAGTGATAAACCTGCACCGCCGCTAAAGTCATAGTTGAATATTTGTTATAATAAAGAGGAAAACTAGTTTGTCAAAACACTGATACCAAATATTAAACTAACAGTTACAGCTAAAAACAAAACTAGAAATAGGTGAACTTGTTTCTGCAGCGCCCCCTGGTGTTGGGAGGCAACGAGTTGCTCATTAACCCAAACTAAACTCTGTGTCATACAAATGCAGGTTTCAGAGTTTTCTCAGTTCAAATGCGTCTCAGTTCACGGCTGTTCATCGTTTTGACAAAACTCTGTCGTCATCAGAGCCAAACTGGACCAACCTACGCCTCACATAGATATATTCTACCCAGAGCAGGCGTTCAACCTTCATTTGCAAACAGGAAGTTTGTGTTTAATGTCGTTTAATTCTGCTGCTTGTTGATTAGCTCAAGCTGCACTTTATCAAATAGCTACGCATCAAAGTTATTGATGCTTTTGTCCATTAATATTCAAGTTTCTGACACTTCTGATTTATTATTCAAGGTATTGACCCTTTAGTGTCCAAGTTGTGACACTTTTGTGTGTTCATAGTCACATTATTGACAGTTGGTGGGTTATTTATCCCAGTTTTTGACACATTTATGTACAAAAGTCATCTGATAATTGCTTGAACAAGGTTTCAAATCTACTGGATGATAAATTAAATTAATAGTTTCTGTCTCCAGGAACAGTTTCGTCTGTCTCCCATCAGACCAGACGCATCATAAACTAAATTAATTCCACCAGCAGCGTTGTTCAGATCGTCTCTACATATGGCAGTAATGTCGTAAATTCCTTCTGCTGCGATAATCCTGTAGTGAAAGTCAGACATTGTGACAGCCCTGATTAAAAACAGCGCGGCCTCCGAGGATGTTTGGCTCGACGTTTAGAACAAATCACGTTATTAATAATTCAGAGAGCTGCAGACTTGAGTTTGGGTTTAATGAACCAGCTATAGACGTCCTCCACGGGGAGGAGGAGCTGAACTTAAACCGCTGAAATGAAACCGTTGTGTCACCAGAGCAGCAGGAGTGATGTTGGAGGTGATGCAGCTGCACAGTGACGTCCTGACGCTGGAGGCGGCGGCTGTGTGGCTCGTTCATCCTTCATCCACTCATTCATTCACTTTCTTTATTCATTCATTAAACGTAGCCTCACAACAGTTTCACTTTCCTCTGTTTGCTCTGTTTGTCTTCGCTCCTCCTCCCTGGTCTCCTCCTGTTCTTGACTTCTTCATCTTCCTCTTCCTCCCAGGAGAGACGTTGAAGGAGCAGCAGGTTCCTCGCCACCTCCCCAAACCTTCGTCCTCCTTCTCATCCTCCACCAGCCGCCTCCGAGACTTCAAGGAGACCATGAGCAACATCATCCACAGCCGACCCCTCTCCTCCTCCTCCTCCTCCTCTTTGCCGGCCGCCGTCCTCTCCGCCGAAATCGCCTCCGCCGCCGCCGCCAACAGCCACCACCACCTCCACCTCCACCCTGCCGCCGCCCCCTGCTCCTCCTCCTCCTCCTCCATCAAACCGCAGGACTGGGAGGCTGACAGCACCAGCAGCGAGTCCAAGTCCAGCTCCTCGGGGGGGACGGGGAGGTACCGGCCGGCGTGGAGGCCGCGGAGGGAGGCGCTCAACATCGACAGCATCTTCAACCGCGAGAGGCGCCGGCAGGCGGGGTACAGCCCCCTGGGAGCAGCGCTGCTGGACGACGGCGGAGCCTCCGACGGCGCCTCCTTCGCAGCCCCGGAGGACGTGAGGGCCATCAGGCCCGGCTCCTCCTGGACTCTGCCCACCACCTCCAGCAGCTTCAGAGCAGCCGTGGACGCAGCGGGAGGCGGAAGTGTCGGTGGAGGAGGTGCAGAGCTGCCTCCTCCTCCTCCTCCGCCTCCCCCCAGGCTGATCCAGAGGATGGAGAGCGGCTACGAGAGCAGCGAGAGGAACAGCAGCAGCCCCGTCAGCCTGGACCTCAACCTGGCAGACAGGTGGGCTCATGGGTCAGGTTCGGGGTCACGCCCATTAGATGATGATCTGCAGGTCAATAAAATGTCTTAAAGTATCCCAGAAACAGAAGAACAGAGACAGAGAACTCAGAAATGCTCCATTCACAACACTGAAGGTTCCATCTGAGAACTTCAGAGAACGATGACATTTTGTTTATAAAGATCTTTGTTATCTTCATGCTCTGGTTCTGTTTTATAATAATCTGGTTCATAGGCAACACAAAAGTTAAAATCTGCTCTCAGGTGCATCGTCATCATGTCAGGGTTTCAGGGTTTGGAAGGCATGTTTGATAAAATCACCAAATGGATGCTGTTTTCAGAGCCAGACAATGAAACACTGTGACGTGTGGTTATGTTTAAAATGAACCAGATCTAAGCTTAAAATTCAGCAAGTTCACTTTATTCTGCATGTCTGAGGTCTCTCTCCTTCTAGTCCTGGTTGTTCTGTTTCCACAGAGCTGCAGGACTTTATGTTGTAGTGAGAAATGAGCCCAGTGATGAAAAATGAACAAAAGAAACTGGGGTTGGGAGGTTAAAGGAGGAACTGGGAAAAGGCTTCACGGCGCTCAAACCCATAAATAAAACCCAGACTAAAGGTGTTTTAAATACATATACGACTCTGTGTTTGTGTCCTCTCTTCAGGGATTGTGCTGTGAAGAAGCCTTCGTCCTCCTCGTCTTCCTCAGGACCGGCGTGGAGGAACATCCGGTCGAAGAGCAGCGGCGCGCTGCTGCAGGAGCTCAGCTCGACCAGCAGGGGGAGCCTCGGTACGACACACCTGTATGAATGAGTTCAATCAGTCAAGAACAGAACAGGAAATGTTTAAGATGGTTTTGCTTTAATGCATGATGTAAAGCTACAGCAGACACAGAGATGGCTTTTAAAATTATTTAAATAGAAACAAAACTTTTATCGTAGTTCAGGAAGTGTTTTGTGTGTTTGCTGTTGTCGATTTGTGGCCGTTTAGTGTCTCTGTGGTTATGTTGCGTGTCTTTAGTGTGTCTCTGTGGTCATTTTGTCTCTCTTTGTGGTCATTTTGTGGCTATTTTGTGCGTCTTTGGGGTTCTTTAATGCCTCTTTGTGGTTGATTCCTGTTTGTTTTCATTTTTTGTGGTCGTTTTGTGTCTCTTTGTGGTCACTTTGTGCGTCTCTGTGGTCCTTTTGTGTGTCTTTGTGGTGGTTTGTTATCTGTTTGTGGTTGTACTGTGTCTCTTTGTGGTCATTTTGTGTCTTCTGTGGTCATTTTGTGTGTCTTTGTTGTCGTTTCGTGTCCTTATGGTGGTTTGGTTTCTGTTTGTGGTGGTTATGTGTCTCTTTGTGGTCTTTTTCTGTGTCTTTGTGGTTGTTTTTTCTCTCTTTGAGGTGATTTGTGGTTTGATCCCTTCATTAAAAAGTTATGACACGACAGAAGAACCAGCGTAAACACTGTTCATATAGAAATACGACACATCTGTATCTTCCATCTTGATGTAAAAACGTCTGCGGCCTGTCGAGACTTGGTTTATGTGTTGCTGTCTTTGTCGTTGCTGCTGCTGCTGCAGCGCCCCCCGCAGGCCGCAGCGAGCTGGACGAGCTGCAGGAGGAGGTGCTGAGGAGAGCCAGGGAGGAGGAGCAGCAGCGGCGGCAGGAGAAGGAGAGGGAGGCGGCGCTCGGATTCAACCCAAGACCCAGCAAGTACCTGGACCTGGACCAGCTGCAGATCCAAGGTGCGTGCACGGAGACGCACAAACGGACAAACAGACACACAAACAGACAAACAGACACACAAACAGACACACAAACAAACAAACAAACAAGGTGTTGTAAAGCTGGGCGCTTGTTGACTCATTACGGTGCCGATTTTAGCAAAAGCTCTTTTCTTTGTGGTCACTTTCAGATGTTTGTGGTTGTTTTGTTTCTCTGTTGTCGATTCGTGTCCCTTTGTGGTCGTTTTGTCTTACTTTGAGGTCACTTTGTGTCTCTTTGTGGCTCTTTGTGGACGTTTTGCAAGTGTTTGTGGTGGTTCTGTGTCTTTTCTCTGCATTCGTTTAGTGTCTCTGTGGTTATGTTGTGTCTCTTTGTGGTTGTTTTTTGTCAGTTTATTGTCATTGTGTCTCTATTTTAGGTCATTTTGTGTCTCTTTGTGATAACTCTGCATGTCTTTGTGGTCATTTTGAGTCACTTTATGGTTGTTTTATGTCTTTATGGTTGTTTTATGTCTGTTTGTGGTTGTTTTGTGTTTCGAAGGTCTTTTTTTTTTGGTCATTTTGGTTGTTTGGTATCTTTAGAGGAGCATTAAAAATGTCTCGGATGTAATTTGTTGAAAGTGCTGCTGAACTATTGTGCTGTAGTTCAGTGTGTGTGTGTGTGTGTGTGTGTGTTCAGTAGACGTGTGCTGCGTTGAATAGCAGGAATGTTCCTCATTGATTGGCTGAAAGGGTCGACACACAAAAGAATGAGTAACGCAGCTTCTGCTTTTATTTTGAAAAATCCGCCGTCTCCCATTGGCTAGCGGTCACCCTGTGAGTCGTCGTTAACGTGTGCGTCTGTTTGTCAACGCTGCAGGTAAAGGCGACAGCTTCGAGCGGTGCGTGTCGGAGGCGGAGCTTCTGCTGGACCAATCGGTGCGTCTGGAGCAGGCGGGCGAGGTCGCCGCCGCGCTGTCGGCTGTCAACGAAGCCGTCTGTAAGCTCCTCCCACTGCCCCCTGACCCCGCCCCCGCCACATTACTCACCTGCTTAGCAAGTAAACACGCCGAATGAGGTCGACGCACACCCACTCTGGTTGCTAATGGCAACCAAGCTGAGATTCAAACGCACACACTCCTCTCTGAACATTTAGACGCCTTTTGATCACACAAACACACAATAACTGCAGCTCGTCATCAGCCGCTCGCTTCGACCCACAAAAGCCCGACAGCCGATTAAAACCTGACATAAACAGAAGAAGAAATAAATAACTTAAGAGGCAATAAAAGACGAAGCTAAATCAAACGGGAGAGTCAAGACATCATCTCCCCCAAATAAACTCAGACCAGCGTCACTTTCTTCTCTTCTTATGCACGGCTGCATTTTAAAGGACGGTTCTGTTCTGGTACTGGTGTTCTGGCATCACTTCAGTTTATCTCTATCAGTAGTAATGATGTGCTCACCAGCATCTGTGGACACGCTGACGTCACTGAACTTGTTTTATTGTGAGAAGCAGAAACACAGAAACTTCCACATTCAAGTGTTGATCCAGTTATAAAGTCTGATGTCTGTGGTGGTGATTTCTGGGTTTAAAAGATCTATACAGAGCAGCTAAGAAGTTCAGTGTGGTGACTCCTCTTAGCTCCTAACAGGCTGACAGGTTAACAAGCTAACGCGCTAACAGGCTAATGGACTAACAAGCCAACAGTGGAATTAGCTGACAGAATAGCAAGCTAACAGGCTAACAAACTAACAATCTAACAGGCTGGTGATACAACAAGCTAACAGGCTAATGCTCTTTCAAGTGAATGGACTAACAAGCCAGCAGTGTAATAGAATAAAAAGCTAAAAGGCTAACAAGGTAGAAAGCTAACAGCCTAACAGTCTATCAGGCAACAGTATAACAACCTAGCAGGCTAGCAGTACAACAGGATAACAGGCTAATGGGACTTTCAAGCTAACAGGCTAATGGACTAGCAAGCTAAAAGGCAACAAGAGTAACAATCTAACCTGGTACCCACTGATGGAATAACAAGCTAACAGCCAAACGGGAAAAAACAGCAAAAAGTCTAACAAAATAACAAGCTAACAGGGTAACAAACTAACTAGATAACAAGTAAATGGACTAACAGGCTACCAGGGCAACAATCAAACACCCTAACAATCGAACAAGCTTACAAGCTAGCAGACTGACAAGCTAATAGGTAGCTAACAGGCTACCATGGTAGCATTAAAATACACAAACAAACTAACAGACCAACAATGGAAAAAGCTTACAAGCTAACGGACAAACAAGCTAGCTCACTAACAAGCTAATGGGGTAGCAAGCTATTAGGCTAACAGACTAACAAGCTAATATCCTAAATGATTAGCATTCCTATCAGGGTAGCAAGCAAACAGGCTAATGGGCAAACAAACTAAAAGGCTAACGCAGGCTAAGCAGCAACAAACGAGCTCTGACTGTGTATAAAATGAATAAACCCTCCGTGACGGAGCAACCTGCCCTTAATTATCCATTCCTTTGAGCCTTAATACTCTGTAAATGGGTGAGGTTTGTAAACAATATACCCCCCAGACACTGGAGGTCTCTGGGAAGTGAGTCGCTTTTGTAGCCAGCCTCAAGTTAACATTCAAGGAGCTGCTGAGGCATTGGCTCCATGTTTTAGTTTCTGAGGTTGCTGCTTGAATTAACTTTCTAATGTGACAAAAAACCCAATTTCAAAGAGCTTAAGTTTCATTAGAGGAGCTCACAGGCCTCATGTGTATAAAAATGTCTTGTTATGTCCTAAAGTAGAGAAGAGTCCACAGCAAGGTCGTCATCTAAATCTGGTCCATGGAGCAGAACCTGTAGAGAACCACAGATCTGAACGACTTCATCAGGAGGTCAGGTAGAAGAGGAAGCTGTCTGTAAACTGTGATGGACCTTCACAACAGTTTGAGTCTAGTTTCTGAACACCAGACCTGGAGCTTTGTGTTCAGGCGCTTCAGTAACGTCTCCGTGTTCACAGATGTCACTAATTAACAATTACAGCGCGATGGCTGATGGAACAGGAACCAGCAGCAGAACCGTCCTTCAGCTTGACAGCTTATTAGTTCTTTGGTTTTAATTGTGTTAATTTAACATTGTGTCTGGATATAATTTCACCATTTCATCATCGAGAATCAAGCCTGAGTTTGGGTCATTCCTGGCACACGGTCACGCACCACATCCCCATCAGCAGCCTGACACTTGATTTCCTTCAGCTGTGTGTTTGCTTTGTAAGATTTTCTGCATGAAATCATCATAACGAGTTATTTTCTGCATCCTCAGTTTTGTTTTTCCTCATTTTGTGTTGTTTGTTTTTCTTTTCCTTTCTGTTGTGTATTTTTCTGTTGACATGCGACGCGGCTGCAGCCAAACTGCGGCCGGCGGCGGCTGAGGGTGGAGCTAGTAGTCACAGCCGGCTGCAGCGCTGCATGAGGAGAGCACGCAGCCTGCAGCAACGCATGCAACTGCAGCAGCAGCAGCAGCAGCAGCAGCAGCAGCAGGACTCAGAGGCAGGCAGACAGCAACCGCAGCAACCAGAGCAACAGCAGCAGGAGGAGAGGCAGCAGCTCCAGGAACAGCCCAGGTACCCCGCAGTCTGCTCAGCCAATCAGAGGTCATGGAGCAGATCATGTGGTGGAGGTGTTTTAGCTGCTGTTTTCAAGCTGGAGACGCTGCCAGAAGACGTACATTAAATATTGTTCAGTGTTTTAGATAGTTTTTAGTGTCATATCACACAAGTCAAGACTGGCGAGTCCCAAGTCCTGGACTTTCAAGTTCTAAACGGGTCATGATGGTCCAGCACCACATGTGAAGGGACTTTAATAACAGACCAGTGATGCAGTACACAGTGGAAGTGAGTACCGCTGTGCAGCATCACTTAACTGTCAAACGATTCAGTTTTACCTCACAGTAATCAGATTACTTCTAAGTTGAACAGTAGAGTATTAGCTGTTGTTTAAAACAGTTCAAATTTAATGTGTTGAACAAACACTGCAGAGCTTTAATGCCACTAAAGTCAGTGATTCACACAGTCTCTGTTCGTCAGCTCTGACTGCAGCAGCTGGTTTCCTTTTAGCCTGAGTGACACTTTGGATTTCCTCATCTGGGTTTGGGATTATAGTTTGTTCTGCACCTGGTCGTCTGATGCCAACACTGCTGCTTTAATATGAACACGATCACAGCTGGACTCAGAAACCCTGACTTGACTTAGCAAAACGATGACCAGCTCCATGTGATCGCTCGGTGTGGCTGCAGCGTAAAGCCTGAGCTCACACCTACAGACACACTGATGTTCTGACTGTAACGAACTCTGCAGCCTCTAGAGGCGCTCCGGCAGCTTCCCACTGCTGGTTTGGGGAGGAATGTTGTCGTGACAACCAGCTCGCTCAGAGTGTGAACCGTGGTGAGAGACTGTCGACACTCCCTAGAAAACATCCTCACAAACACACACACACAACCAGCCCCGTGTTCAGCCGGAGCTCTCGGATGACACCATCTGTTCACAACATACTGCAGGCCAACACACACACACACACACACACACTCACACACGCACTCACACACTCACACACACACACACACACTCACACACAGTCATGTTTCCATCACTTCAGAGGACACTACGTTGACTTACATTCAGTTCTTGGAAACGTAACCGTAACATTCTACTTGCCTACTTTGACATAACCTTAACCTAACGTACTACAAACCTTAACCTAACCTTCTCCTAACCCTCCTTTAACCTTTACCTAACCTTCCCCAAACCTTAACCTAACCCTATTCTAACGTTTACCTCCTCTCTCCGTCTCTCTGCAGTGAAAAGCCTCTCCGAATACTTCTGACAGAGAAACAGGGCGACCAATCAGCTGCCAGTCAGGACAAGCAGGCCCCACCTCTCTCCACCTGCCTTGTTAAGCCCCTCCCTCCCACTCCGAGCTCCGCCTCCAGCGCTGTGGCCCCCACAGGTTCCTCCAGGGAGGGAGGCAGGACCGGGGGCCCCTGCCCTCGCACTGGGAAGCCCCTCAGCAGCAGCGGCTCCCTCCCTTCTCTGTGTGTGGACACCTCCCTGGGAGACTTGGCTCCGCCCCCTCCACCTGTCTCCATCCAGGCACAAGCCCCGCCCCCACCCAGGCCGTACACCCGAATACCGTCACCTGTCAGCATGAAGCAGGAGCCATTTTACGCCAGGCAGCCACAGGCCACGCCCCCAGACCATAGCCCCTCCCCCATACTAGCCCCGCCCCCTGTTACCTACCCAACCAGGAACTGGTCCTGCCTACACCTGGACCCACGTGATGTTGTTGATTCTCCCAGTCAACCAATCAGCTCCACACTTTACTCCCCCCCAGACTCCCCCCCCACCGCCCCCCCTGTGAGCCGGCCCGGTCGGACCTCCCCCCCACCGCCCCCCGTCCAGGACTACAGAGCCGCTCTGCCCGTGGAGCGCTGGGCCGAGAACGTCAACCGGTACTACGGCTCCCAGAGCGCAATGGGAGGGGAGGGGGGGCCGGCGCTGCCCGGCGAGGAGCTGTCAGAGCTGGACTCTCTGTACCAGGCCAGCCTGCTGGCTCCCAGCATGCACCGGGGCAGCCGCGGAGTCAGTCCTCAGCCCGCTGGCAGCAAACCAGGTGACGAGTCCCAGCCTTTACTATTATGTGTTAGATTTATTATACTTTACCTGCAGCTTTGATCCATTCGCTCCAGTTATCACAATTTTATCTGTATGTTCTTACAACTTTATACATTATTAGTTATTGCAGTTTTATCCATCATCTATAGTTAATATAACTTTATGGATTATCTTTGGTCTTAAATACCTTTTCCATTATTTTTATTTTTTTTTCAACTCTGTCCATCATCTATAGTTATGACAGTTTCATCCAATACCTTTTGTTTTTCTAACTTTATTATCTTTAGGTATTAAACTGTGTCTATAATCTTTAGATTTTTACCATCAGCTGTAACAGACTCATGCGTTACTGCAGCTCTGTCTGTTAAATCAGTGTATTAATGCTGGTGAGTTGGTTGGCTGTGTAGGTGTGAGGAGGCTGCTGCCAGGTTCTGGACGGTCCAAAACACCAACAGCTGAGCTCGAGAGATTCGCCTACAGAACACCGACTCCTCTGAAGGTACGACTCACGTGAAGCTGCCTTCATTATGTGACTGGTGTGAAGCAGCTGCCTCTGTGTTCGTCTGACACGCCTCAGCAGGACGGCGACCGTCACCCGGCCGCCGTTTAGAAGCTCTGAGTTCAGAACATGAGCTGTGAAATGGATTCTCATGATTCAGGTGAGGAGCAGCTGCTGAATGGAAACGCCTTCCTGCAGCAGCTGCTTCTCACCGTTCTATTTTTAAAGCGTAATAACTTCTCATTTAAACGTCTCACCGCCGTGGTTCATGTCTTCAGCTGGAGATGCTGCATGAATGACTGTTTATCTGCAGGACATGTGACATTTTAATAGACTTTTAGGTGGTGATAGAAACTGTTTAGAGGTTTTAAACAGACTTTAGTGTCCATGATGCCCTCCGCTGCACTAAAAGTAGAAACTGAAAAATGTTTAACACGTTTATAAAATGCTAATGTCACGCTGATAAGTTGCCAATAAATCTGCATTTAACATCAGTTTAATGTTAACAAGCAGCTTGTTTACATGTAAATAAACCAAAATGTAAAACTAATCAGCACGTTAATTAATGATTGTTCAACCCAAACTCGTCTGTGTCCTTCATGCAGCCGCCGTCAGCTGAAGACGAGAGCTACAGCGCAGAGAACCTGCGACGCATCGCTCGCAGCCTCAGCGGCACCGTCATCGGCTCGCGGCCGCAGAACCTCGTCGCCTCCCGCAGCAGCTGTGTAAGTCCGGTTCTGATCCACAGTTAACCCAGACGGAGGGGTTTGTTTGGGCTTCATCATCATCATCACCTCCTCTCCACTGTTTGGTTCGACCTCCTGCTGCCACCTGGTGTTCACATGATGTAGCTGCAGCTGGATTCACTGAGTCACACGGTGGCGACACTAAAGTAGAAGATGAAGGCGTCAGAGTGACTTTAGAAAACCAGGAGCTCACAGCCGGAGAGGAAAGGAGTTTAGCCTTCATGTAGCTGAGTTATGGAGAGGCTTTTATTGTGAAACGCCGGCGCAGGAAGAACCAAAGGCGAGCAAGTATAAAGGGCTTCGACTTTTCTGAGTTTATCGAGACAGCAGGTAGACAAAGGTACATTTAAACAGGAGCCCTCAGAAAACACCAACAACTAAAACATGATCACACTCTTCTTTAATTTTCCCTCGAGTGTCTTCAACCTTTTTAAGACAGAATCATTTACTTCATGGACGTTATTTTAAAATCGCCAAAATTACAGCTTAACTTAAGATTTTCTTTGAGTTATTTTTACCTTAAAGTCCAATCTGTTGCACAAACCTCCCGTAAGTCTTGCAGGTTTCGTTGAGGTTTTCTCCTTCACTTGGTCTCACACTGAAGGAGTCAATAAACAGCAACCCAATTAAGAAACACAATGAGGGTATTTCTGACTCTCTCTTAATTATAACACAGCTTTAAGACAATAATTATGATGTTATTATATGTCCATCACAGAGCTTTAAGTTTCCTCAGATTTGTTTGAGCATCAGTCTGAAACTCAAATTATAGAATAGATTCCATTTCCTGTCACAGACGACCATAGAAGCAGCTCATCTTTACACTTCAGCAGCTAAAACTGACAAATATTTGACATTTTTACTTTAAAAACGACTAAAACTCCTGAATAATTATCAGAACATCTGCTGACAGCCTCCTGTTTAAACCAGAGGATCCAGTTTAACTACTCCTGGAACCATCAGAACGCTCACATCACTCTGAGCTGCAGGAAGAACCTCTGAGTGGTTTCGTCTCCAGGAGGTCGTGCTGCAGGTCGTCTTAGCGTCGCCTCCCTGCAGGCAGAGCTCCTGAAGCAGCAGCAGCCTGAGCTCCTGCTCGCCAGCGCCTCCTCTCTTGCCGCTGGCGTTCAGCCATCTCGTATTCAGCCTCCAGAATCGCCTCAGGCCGCCGCATTAAACATTGATCAGCCGTTTAGATCTTCCATTAAGCCTTTAACCTCGGCGCTCGCGGCGAGGCGGAGCCGGCCTGATCCGAACCGACAGCTGAGCTTCGAGGAATCCTGATGAGGGTTTTGCTTCTGTAGCAAACCTGCAGCTCTCACTGGAACCCAGAGAGACGTCCAGCAGTGAAGGTCTGACAGACAGGAGGAGGTTCAGGAGCAGCTTTAGTCCTCCTCACATCATCCAGCGCCTCATTCAGCAGATACTCTGGATGTTTCATCTCAACATTCACACATACTGGATACAGTAAAAAAAATATATTTGGCTTTTAAAAAAAAAAAAAGAAAAGGTGTTTTTTATATTTATTCTTGTATTATTGTGACGCTCAGAAAATATCATGAGTTGACTTTTTTTTGCTAATATGTGCTCAGAAACGTAACTTTTTTTCATAGTTCAGCTGTCATCAGAATATTGGATCTATTTGCCAAATATTACAGATTTTAATTCAACAGTTGCTGAGATGTCATCGTTCAAACGTCAATGTGTGAAAAAACCCTGATTAAAGTGGGTCAGATATTTTGTTTATCTATTTGATATGTGAAGGTAAAATGTCACCATTAACCACATTTAATGCCGTAAAAAAATCAGATAATTGAGCAGAAATTGTTCAGAAAGTTTGATGGTTTGAGATGGAATAACCTGGATATGACCCAAACTTTCTGTTCTTTTCTTTTAAATCTCCTGCTGACTCACATAAAGCACATTTTTATGCTCATTGAAACTTCAGGCTGTTTGAACGAGACACAAACCTGAAGTTTATTCAGCACGTCGTTGATTCAACATCTGCAGTATTTGGCAAATAGTCTGATTATTACTGAACAAAACAACTGAAGCATCATGAAAACTCCAAACTTTGAGCACAAATTAACTAAAAATTAAAAGTCAACCAGCGACCACATGAAGCTGCACGTCGCAGTCGTACAAAACCTACAGAATAAAATATCCTACAAATGACTTTATGGGGGAAGTCTTGGATACATCGAGCTACAGGTTCACAGACATCTTTATAAATATCTGTTTTATGCTATAAAAACTCTCAGAAGCTAATCTGAATGTTTGATGATCTGAGGTGAACCAAACTCTGTTCATTTATCTGCTGATCTAACGAGCACTGAGGAGGACCATCGTTCTCTCATCAACATCTGGATCTTGGAGGTTTTTGTTGTTCTTGTTTCATCGTGTTGACGTGTTTTCATTTTTTCTTTCTTCTGGTTTCTTCTCATCGCTTTGGTTTCCCTCCATCTTTCTTTTCCTCCTTCTCATCTTTTCATCTTCGTCTCCTCCTCCCCCTGAAGGACTCCTCTGTATCCAGGCCTCCTCTCAGACCCGCCGACCTTCACTCCTCCTCTTCCTTCACGCTCCCCCGTCGCCCCAGCACCTCCTCCCTGCACCTCCCCTCCTCCTCCTCCTACTCCACCACAGACCACTCCCTCCACCGACACCTCGGCCCCTCAGCTCCTGCACCTCCTCCACAGCACCCCCCCTCGCAGACATCATCATCACGGCCCCCCAGCTCGGGGCCCTCCTCCTGGGGACGCTCAGGTAACCGGGTGGCCCTCCACCTCCACCTCCACCTCCTCCACTCTGCTCCTCCCAAGTCCCTCAAACGTCTCATTGAACCATTTTATCAGAATTTATTTATTTATTTTGTTCCTGAAGTTTTAGATCCTTTACTGGTACGTAGGACCTCAGTCCAGCTAAAACCAGCTTAAACTGGTTCTGGTCTGCAGGTCATCTACAGGATTAAACAGTGAGAGGCGCCACCTGCTGGAACAGCCAGGTACTGCAGCTGGTCTGTGATAGCTGAAGCAGGATGGAACTGGCTCTCCTAAATAATACTGATTCGTTTTGGATCAAGAACAAAACACGAGAACCTTTGATCAGAACCTCTCCTGGTCGGACCAGCGTCACTGAATCACTGAGTAGCTCACATGACTAGATAGTGGAGGAGGATCAATAAATCGATCGATCAGCTGGTCTGTCTCGTGTCTGATGACCCGTTTGCCTTCAGAGGTTTGTTTCTGACGGACTGTTTCTCCTGCAGGACCTGGTCCGAGGCTCCAGCACCAGTTTCTGGTTGTGTCTGACCGGCATCCGGCTGTCTCAGGTCAAGGCCTCCACGGCGTCGCGCTGAGCTACGGCACTCTGCCCCGAGCTCCTCGCCGAGCGCCGCCTCCCTCCTCCTCCTCCACCGCCTCCCTGCCCCGACCCAGAGCCCGATCCGGCCCCGCCCCCCCGCCGGGCCCACAGAGCCTGTACGCCACGCTGGCCCACCCTCGCCGCCCTGCCGCCACCAACGGCCTCCACCGGCAGCAGTCGCTGCCCGGCTTCGGCGCTCCGCAGCACCTCAGGGTGCCCGGAGACGCCCCCACCCAGCCGCTCCGCCTGGACGTCCCCCCTGAGAGCGACTGGCGCCGCGACGCCGACCCCCGGACTGTCCAGCCCGGCTCCTCCTGGGACCCCCGCCTGGCCCGGCACCACCAGGCCCTCCAGCGGACCGACTCCCAGCCGCCTCCTCGGCCTCGTCGGGCCCCTCAGCTCTGCTCGCTCTGCCAGCAGCTCCCCGCGGAGCCGTCGCGGCCCTACTGCCCGTCCTGTGGCGCCTACGTGGCCCGGTTCCGCCCGGTCAGCTGATCAGGACCCCCCTCCACACAGACGGAGTCTTATTCCAAACGCCACATCCATCGTCGCGGTGAAGTTCCTCGTTTTGTATTTAACTTGTGCCAACGTTCCTCCAGCTCCTCCTCCGTCACGGCGTCGGTGGATGATGTCACTCTGGAATAAAACTCTGATTGGTGGTCGGCTGCAGCATCCGAGGAGGCCAGCGACATCAAGAAGCTTCATCTGAGTCCAGTCTCATGCCCCAAACCTCCATCTGAGGACCCGCTGCTCCACAACACGACTGGTTCTGACCCGCCTGGCCCTGCCCCGCCCACAGCAGACATGACAGACCGATCCCAACACTCCTGTACGTCTGTGGATGTCTGCTGCACTGAAGCACAGTCAGAGTCCAGATGAAGCACCAGAGCAGGTGATGAAGAGACGGACAGAGCTCAGAGCCAAGCAGCCAATCAGAGCGAAGCTGCCGACCTGCTGTCTGTTCACCACAAACCTGCAGCCGCACGCAGGAAGCTGCAGTTACCGGACTTTATATGAACCTGGAGGTGTTTGTTTTTAGAGCAGAACTAATCAGAAGCGTGAGGTAGTTCGACGGCCTTCAGGTCTCAGTTTGATTCAGTTTTTAAGCGAAACACTAAAATCACGTCTTCGAATGTTTTGTTTTGTTTTTTTCAGCAGCAGAAAGTCCAAAAAACCCAAATAATAATTTTAGAGTCACAACAGACAAAGAAAAGCAGCAGATCGTTTGTTTTTAGCCTCCCAGACTTAAAGCTGATTGGCTGTTCAAACATCCGTCTGGTTGGTGTTTCCATAGAAACACACGTATGTTCGTTTGTCTACATAGAAGCACAAGTTTGGCTTCATTTGATCCAATAAATCTGTTGAAGGTAAAGTTCATAGCTGCTCCGTTAAAGTTTCTATTTAACGATGAAATGTTTAATTAGGTGATGAATTAACCGATGAGCTCGTCACTTTTTACTGAAAAACAATCACCTAATTTCTAAAGTTTTACTGTTTTTGTTTGTCTTGTTTTAACATAATTTTGGGGTTTTTTAAAGACGGTTGATTGAACCGAACAAACTTTTTAAACGTCTCCGTCTCCTGGAAACGACCGAATTATGAGAAAATGCTGTCGGTAAAAACGTTCTGGATGCTAGCGCTCCTGTGCTAACGAGGAATGTTCCGGCTGCTTTCTGTCGACTCGAGGCCGCTAAAGGACGACCAGCGACGTGTTCGGTCTCCTCGTCGGCTCCTCCGACACATTCAGAGTCATTTTACCGCCGTCAGTGTGCTCGTGTTGAACAGACTGGCATGAGTTTGTGTTTCTGTTCAGCTGCTTTTAACATTCAGTCAAATCATTTCCTCCAAAAGAGCTCATTTAGATGATTAAATAAACATCTTCAGTTCACAGTGACCAGAGAGTTCATTCACGTTAAACTCAAACCGACATTTAACCAGATAGTTTGTTTGTGCGCCTTTCATCCACCCCGACCTCCTCCTCCTCCTCCTCCTCCTCCTCCTCCTCCTCGTTAAAGTCGCCTCCTGCCAGGAGTTGTGTCGCACTAACTGGAAAATCGGCGTAGTTACGTAGAAACTTCATTTCAAGGAGACGGAGCTGCAAAAACGGTAAAAGCACGTCACAAAAACTAGATCAGAATCAGATGTGGACGTGGTGACGGCAGCTCGGTTCAGTCGTGTGCTGACACCAGACGGGCCGACGGGCCGACGGGACCAGTGGTGGGTTCAGGTTTGTGGGTTTAGCCGAGCAGACAGCAGGTCCTCTGTGCTGCCGGAGCATCAGCCTGCTCCACTTCCTCCTCTATTTATTTTTGTAGGCTTGTCAGACTGAGTTGTGCGTAGATGAACTAAACTACCTGCCTAACCTGAATATACTCGACCATAGACCTGGTTTTTCTATACAGTGAGTTAGTCGCCTTGTTTGGGATGTGCAGCCTTCCTATATCGCGCCGGGGCTGATTTCTGTCGTTCCAGAGCCTGTTAGAGGATTTTAGATTATTAACTGACGCTTTCTTTTGAACAGAGTTGCAGCTAATATTTAGCATGACGTTTTTCTGACATATTCTAGCCTTGAGAGAACCACTCGGTGTACATTTATGGTTACCGGCGACGTACGCAGACCCGTTTTAGCGCCGCCACTCGACTCCGGCTCGGTTCACAGGTGTCGAGGGTCCATCTTTGCTTTTGCTCGTTGCTCATTTCTTTCGACGTCCCTCCCGTTTGTTCGGGGAGGAGCTTCCCTCGTTTTACTGCTCTTGAAGGAAACCCGTAAATCGTTCTTCGCTAACAGAAGCTAGCAGAGCCGATCTGCCCGACTGCCAAGAACCTGGTGGTGACCCGAACACACGAACCCAAGTCTGGTCTGAAGGGAAACACTGATTTAATCATTTCACCCTGCAGATGAAGTCTTATATTAACCAGTTTCTCCTTACAAATGATCATAATGACCTGATTTATTGATCCCTGAAGGAAATTGTCTTATTTTAACGGTAAAGTTGGTGTTTCAGACCAGACCTGAGTTCACAGCGATGCAGCGAGTGTCCATAACTCAGAGAGAAGTTATTTTTTCACCATGTCAGAGTTTCTTTTGTTTTTTTCCTTTTGGCTTTTTGCTTTGCCAGATTTTATTTTGTTGATTTTTGGTATATTTTTGATGCTTATTTTTCTACACTGTAGAGTTAACAGAGATGATAAGATGATTAAAATGTTTAAAGGAAGAGTTTTCATGTCTATAAGAGGACTTTTTGTTTGTTGTGTCTCATTTCCTGTCCTGATGCACAAATCTGAACCCTGGTAGCTGTCGGTGGCAGTTACATCAGGATCAGTTTCAGTCTGCAAAATGCAGTTTATAGCAAAAACCTTTAGAGGGACTGACGCAGGCAACGACTGTGGATAAACCGTTAAAACTTAGCTTAAAGCAGCAAAAAGCTGTCGGCAGCTAAATGAGGAGAAATAAAGATAAAGATAAGATAAAGATAAAGATAAACTTTATTCATCCCGAAGGAAATTGTTTTGCCAGAGTACAGTTAAAGCAAGCAAAACAGTTAAAGTAACAAGTAATTCCAAATAAGAATAAAAATAAAAAGTAAAAAATAAAAGTAAATAAAATAAGAATACAAGTACCAGAGAAAATAGTGCCTTAATAAAAACAATACAATAAGTACAATAACAATTATTAAAGTGACGAGGTCATTTGGGAAAGGGTCGTGAGCGGGATTTGAACTCATGACCTCCACATTGGGACTCTAGCTCAACCAGGTGAGCTATAGCAGCAGCCCAAATGGGTAAAATAGTGAGCTGAACCTGAATAAAAAGGCTAAAACCAACACCAAGAAGTAGGTTTAAGGCTAAAACTGTGAGCTAAAAGTGGAAACGCAGTGAAGCTTGTGTGTTGAAAGGCATAAATGATTAGCTAAAGGACAAGAAATGGATAAAATTGTGCTAAAAGTGGATGAATGGCTAAACTAAAAATCTAAAAGTCAGTTAAAGACTGTGATTGTAGCTAAAAGTGAAAAAGCAGCTAAAATTGTTGGTTAAAACCATATTAATGGGTGAAGTTGTTAACTAGAGGTAGATGAGGTGCTAAAATTGTAAGCTGGAACTTAATAAAGAACTAAATCTGTTAAAAAATAATAGATAAAATGTTAAAATATCTCGCTAACACTGTGGGTAAAGTATGGAAAAGTATGGAATGTTGTTAAAGAGCTCAAAGAAATGAAGAAATTACTGAAGCTGACCAAAACACTTGCATTTCTATTTTTATGTAATTAAATGTTAAACGTTTAGAATGAGCTCAGCTGAACACGAGGTGTTGATGAAGTCCGTCTGTCTGTTTGTCTGGTGAGTTTGGTTCCTTGAACACCGTCAGAGTGAATCTCCCGTCAGAGCAACACCTGCTGGGAGGAGTTCTGTTGGTGTTCTGTTGGTGTTCTGTTGGTGTTTGGTCGGTTGGATCTGGACTGTCTGCAGGCCGGAGACGTCTGACGGACTGAGCTGTTACCTGCACAGGTGAGTCCTGGTCTGGTTGATGCTAAAACTGTAATAAATCAGTTGGACTGTTGAGCTTTTGTTTGGCAGATTTTAGTTGTTGGTGCTTGTTTTCTCAATAACAAACATTTTCAGTGCAAACAGTCTGAGTGTAATTAAGAACCAATTAAGCTGATTGTATGTGGAGGCAGCTGACAGCAGACTGAGGAGGACAAACAGGAAGGACACGGTGCTAAATAATAATAAAACCTTGTTCATTCAGTAAAAACATGAAAACAGCTCCATGGTGCAGGATTTAAAAAAACATAGTGAATGTAAGAGGACAAGAACGGAGTAAAAAATCAGCTCAGAGTTCAGATTAAATTCTCTTTTAAGGTCTAAGAGATGTTACAGACTTCGTTAACCTCCTTCACTGCTGCAAAATGTACTTTACCTACAAAATGGAGATAAAACCTTTAATTAGCAAATGCAGAATAAAATCAAGTAAATTGTGCTGCAACGATGAATCGACGAGTCGACTATTAAATACCTACAAACACAGTTTTCTGATAATAAATCAGTTTGGGTTGTTTTTTTTAAAAAGAAAAAATGGTCTCACTCGTCAGATTTGAGCTAGTTTCTGGTTTCTTTGATCCTCTGTGACGTTAACCTGAACAACAATCAGCTGTTTCAGAAAATCATCGTCTGGCGCTTTGAGAAACACTGACTGATGTTTTCCACCATGTTTTAAAATATAATAGAAGAAACAAGAAGTTGATTAATCTGAGAAACGTCCAAATGAGTCGAGTAGAATAAAGAGATTTTGTAGAAATATCTCGGTTTAAAGATTAGATTTGGTCGATTTTCTCAGCAGAAACCCAAAAGTGTCAGATGATTAGTTCAAGGACCATCAGAAAATTAAAAATGAGAAATTTAAAAATCTTCAGATTCTTGCTTTAGACCAGAATAGAAATATTTATTGATCCTGGAAATTCTGTCATCCTGTTGCTTTGATAAATGGTCTAATTTGGCTTTTTAAAAACAGAAATACGAATCCTTTGGTGTGTTTCAGCAGATTTAGGGGTTAAAATGAACCAATTATTTCTTTCCTACTTCAAACTTTTCCATCAAACTCAGTTGAAAGTTCAGACTTAAAAACCCTCTTAAACCCTTACGTCAGCGCTACGTCTTTGGGTTTTGGGCCGTCGGTCTGAACATCTGGACACGATGCTCAACATTTAATTCATCATGAACGCAGCCACTGATCGACCTGAACAAGACAGAAGACGAACAGACGAAGTGGTTTCAGTAAATATAAACTTTATTAAGTTACCTGCTGCTGACAGTTTACACACGACGACGTCCTTTATTTAAATATATTCTGCTCTGTGTGTTTTTACATCATCATGCTGGTGCTTTACAAACGTTCAGGCGACTTCACGCTCACACGGCTTCTTCATGTAGAATCCGTAGCTGCTGCTGCTGTTGTTGTCGGTCCTCGGGCGGAAAGCTGCTGAGTCATGTTGTGTTTTAATGCTGGACCCGTTAGCTTAGCTTAGCATTAAAGACAGAAGGAAACAGCCGGTTCTGTCCGACTCGTCTGAAACCAATTGCTTCATTACCCAGAATTCATTTTGGCAGAACAAACAACAAAGTCTTTTACATTTTTCAACAAATCAGAACCAAACGATGTGAATGATGGACGAGAAAACGTTTTAAAGTCTTATTTAGGAGCTGATTCATCTGTTTGATGTGCTGTTAGTGGAATAGTTTAGCTTTTATTTAAATTATTTACTTTCTAATTCATTAACGATGGTTCTGTGACACGTTATGAACCAACACAGTTTTATAAAATCATGAAACTGCTGCAGCAGGAGGAACAAACATCCAGTCATGTGGACAGATTCAGTCTCTGAACTCTGAAACCCGCCGGCAGGTTTAAAATCTTTTTTTTTAAATTGTCAAAATTTTCAGAGCCACAAAAAAACAGAGGATGGTTTGATTTTCAATGTTCCAACGGTCCTTCAACTCATCATCTGTGACGCGCAATTTAGTCAGAAAACATCTTTTAAAAAAATCTTAAACTCACTTTATTCTACATGTCTTCTGTAAAAAAATATAAAAATAAAAAAATTATTCTGACTAGATTCTGTAAAAAATAATTTGTTGTAAAAAAAAAAAAAAGCGAGTAAAAATGTCCCAGGAACAAAATTAAAACACAGAAAACTGTTTGAACTAAACCACAGCTGCAGCATTATTCAGCTTTAACAGTTTGATCAGATCGTTCTCAGACGTGAACGCAGCGCCACATCCAGGCTAGCAGTTTCCCCCCGTTTCCAGTCTTTATGCTAAGCTAAGCTAACTGAGAGACGACTGTTTTGTTTCTGTCGTCCAGTCGGAGGTTTGTTGGTTTTTAACGGTTTGATTTCAGCAGAACCAGGAAACCTGCTCGCGTTCTGCTTCCTAACTTCACATTCATAGAAAACTAAACCTCACTGGATTAGTTAAGATTGATTTGAGCTGGGATCAGACATCGTTCTGTTGCTGTGTGTTGATTTTGCTCATTTATAGCTAGTTTGGGCCTTTTTTACATTAACTTGTGGTTATTTTGTGTCTTTCACTTGTTTTTCTCGCGTTTTTCTGCCTCGTCATCGTCGTCTTTGTGACAGTTTTGTTCACGTTTAATTTACGTTTTGTTGAACTGAATTGAAGCCGACGTGTTCTTTTTGTTTCTGGTGCTGAAATCAGAGCAGCTGAAGGTAAACGGACAGTTTGTGACGCTGTGAGATGCTTCGTACGGCGGCCGACGGGGTGAATGACGTGCAGATACACAAACGAAAACGCTGCACATCCAGTCGCACAACGTCACTGCTCCAGGCCTCTAGGGGCAGCAGTGAGCTTTTATCTTCAGTCACTGTGGTTATCTGTTCTACTGCCGTCTATCATGTTGATCCATGGAGACCAGAGAATACAAACCTTTTCCTGCAGCTTTTCCCTCGACTACGTTACTCGTCTCAGGTGAGCAGCTCACTGCTGCCCCTAGAGGCCTGGAGCAGTAACGTTGTGCGACTGGATGTGCAGCGTTTTCGTTTCGCCCCATCGGCCGCCGTAGCTTTGGATCAAAGACTCCGACCGAAATGATTCACAACACCTCCTGACCCTCTGTGACCCCGCCCCCCTCGGTCTCTGATTGGTGGTCGTCCCCTGGCTGTCAGCTGATTGGTCAGGCGGCTCAGTGCAGCAGCAGCCCGGCGAACACATTGTCCTCTGACTCCTCCCACTGTCCCTCCGTCAGTTCCAGCCGGACCTGCTCGCCCCGCCTCAGCATCAGGAGGCCCCAGCCGGTCACAAGCCCCGCCTCCGTCTCCTCCCGCCGCTGCAGAGACACCGGAGCTCCGCCCTCCTCCCCCCTCCTCAGGACCACGTGGGCGGGGCCCGGCCTCAGGTCCAAGGTGAGGAGGAACAGGTAGAGCCCGTCCACCGGCGCCGTGAAGACGCCGCCGTCGGAGTAGAACCGGCCGCGGTTCACAGACGGTTGGAAGACGACGGCGCTGTTGGAGACGCTCAGAGGAGATCTGGCCACGAACAGCAGGAAGGCTTCTGATTGGTCGAATGGGGCGGAGACACCTGGACGGGAAAGGAGGTCAGTGATCGGAACGAGATGTTAGAACCCGAACAGAAACAACAACTGTGACTTCAATGTTCAGACAGACAGCTGGAACAGAACACAGAACATATAAAACATCATGTAGGAAGTCTTCAGAGCATCAGCGTCCATCAGAGTCCATTCAGTCACTGTTCTTTAAACGGCTGTAAATACGTGCAAACGACCACCAATAAGGTCCAGACGACCACCAACGGGATCAGAAAGGCCACAAATCAGCAGCAAAGGAACAACATCGGCCTCAAAACGGCCACAAACAACCGCTACTGATCCAAAACGGCCACTAATGAACACCAATGGGGCCATAACGAAGACTAAAAC